AAGAAAAATGGTAGGAGGCCATGAAGCTTGAAATTCAAGCTATAGAGAGAAACCAGACTTAGGAGCTTGTGTCACTGCCACATCAAGCAAAAAAAATTGGTGTTAAATGGGTATACAAAACAAAATTGAATGAAGAAGGTAAGGTGGACAAATGCAAAGCTAGACTAGTTGCCAAAGGGTATTCGTAAACAGCAGGAGTAGACTATAATGAAGTGTATGCACCGGTGGCTCGTTGGGATACCATCAGAATTCTCCTGGCAGTAGCAGCTCAGCGTGGTTGGTGTGTCTACCAACTTGACGTTAAAAGTGCTTTTTTGTACGGAGAATTAAAGAAGGAGGTATACATCGATCAACCGGAAGGGTTTATCAAAAAGGGAGAGGAAGATAAGGTGTATCGGCTAAAGAAGGCGCTCTATGGCTTAAAGCAAGCCCCAAGAGCTTGGTTCAGCAGAATCGAGAGTCACTTTAAGAAGGAAGGGTTTTAGAAAAGCAACTATGATCACACCTTGTTCTTGAAGAAAAATGGAAACAAGCTATTGGCGGTAAGTCTTTACGTTGACGATTTAATATATACTGGAAATGATGAGCATATGTGCATAGAGTTCAAGTTGTCAATGCAGAAGGAGTTCGAGATGACAGACTTGGGCAAAATGAAGTTTTTTCTTGGAGTTGAAATCTATCAGCGTAAAGATGGAATTCACTTGTGCCAAAAGAAGTATGCTAAGGAAGTCTTGCAAAGGTTCCATATGTGGAGTTGTAATGCTATCAAGAATCCAATTGTTCCTGGTACTGTTCTGTCAAAGGAAGGCAGCAACGGTGCTGATGCAATATTGTACAAACAACTAGTAGGGTGGTTAATGTATCTAACGGTAACGCGTCCGGATTTAACGTTTGTGGTATGCTTAATCTCTCGTTATATGGCTGAACCTAAAGAAGAACACATGTCGATTGCAAAGAGGGTACTGAGGTACTTGAAAGGAACACTGGAACTGGGAATTTTTTACAAGAAAAGCACAAATGCGAATCTGCTGGGATACACAGACAGCGACTACGCACGAGATGTGGGCGATAGAAAAAATACTTCGGGCTGTGTATTTCTACTAAATGGAGCAGCAATTTGTTGAAGTTCAAGAAAACAAGGGATAGTGACTCTCTCATCTACAGAGGATGAGTATGTAGCTGCCACTGCCTGCGCATGTCATTGCGTCTGGCTGAAGGGAATTTTGAAAGAGTTAAGCTTCAAAGACTGTAATTGCATTCACATAATGTGTGATAACAGTTCGGCAATTAAACTATCCAAGAATCCAGTGATGCATCGAAGGACAAAACACATTGATGTTAGATATCATTATCTACGCAATTTATCAAGTGAAGGAGTTGTGAAGTTAGCATTTTGTGGAACTGATGATCAAGTGGCAGACATCATGACTAAACCTATTAAGTTGGATCAGTTTGTGAAACTTAGAGGTTTGTTTGGTGCTCAACGACCTGAGGAGTAAACTGATGCTCGTTAAGCATGTGTCAGTTTAAGGGGAGGAATTTGTTGGGTTTACTGTTAAAGCTAGAGAATAGGTCTTAATAAGCTAGTTTTTAGGAGTTGATTTATTCCAGTTTGTTATATTCTGTTTTCCTTATTTTTCTTTATTTCAGTTACACTTAAATTGTAAGGCTTTATAAAAGCTATAGCAGTCTTTTGAATAAAGTATCAAATATTCTAACTTACGTTTTTGTTCTATTTCCTTTAAATATGAGCATGTTGCTAATACTCTTATTCAACTCGCACCTATTAATCTAGAATACGACCACCATGGCATAATTTTCTTACACCTTGAGTTTGGTAGATCCTTTGGATGTAGCTATTTATCTTTTTGGATCTCTGACAAAGGGGAGAAAGCTTAGTCATAATTTCAATTAATCTTTTTGTTTTTATTTAGTTAGGAGTTTTTTGTGTAAGTCTTGAAATATGGTGCAAGATTTTGTAATGGATACCCATACATTTGTTTGTTTTTATTTAGTTATGATGATAACCGATGACAATTCCTTGCATTTTTTTAAATGTACGTGTTTTTTGGCCAGAGCCTATATATTATTAAAACATAATCTAAAATGGAACACATTGTGTACCATATATTTAAATGGCTATAAGGGCAAAACAAAAACTATAAATATTTACATCAAAACTTAAATGAAATTCATTTTGTACGATATAAGTTATATATATTTATATAAGATAGGTTACTCAACATATCCAAAGTGACTTAGAAACTATACATATTCTTTTTTTATAACAAAACTCAATAAGGGCAAAACAAAAACTATAAATATTTACATCAAAACTTAAATGAAATTCATTTTGTACGATATAAGTTATATATATTTATATAAGATAGGTTACTCAACATATCCAAAGTGACTTAGAAACTATACATATTCTTTTTTTATAACAAAACTCAAACATATCGAATTTTTCAACCAACAAAAAGATAAACAACATATCATAAATCAATGTGACTCATAAAACTCAAGAAAACAAGCCTCCCAATAGAAAGAGACGTCATATAAGTCTTCTTCTATAAATAGTGTTTGTTCATTAAATACTTATAAGTTAAACGAAATATAAAAACATTTAAAATACTAACAAAGTATTATATGGTAAATATCATTAATATATGGTTATAAATATATATTACACGCTTCTGTGTATCAAAAATACCGACATATATAATATTTAACTCATATTTCATCATATAATATCCATGCTCATGTCTTGATGGTTGTTGTCTCGTTTATAAATAAATTTTATATAGTAAGTATAATATACACAAAACACAAATGATTATAGATATAAATGAATGTCATAATTAATACCACTTACAATTGGGATAATAAATTTAGGCTTTTTAATTCTAGCACCATGCAACATTTGGTGTCCTTCCATAACTCTATATGTTGAAAAAAGTTAAACATTAATAAAAATATTCAAAAGTAAAATATACATTATTGAACTTTAACTATATATTACTAAGTCACATATAATATAAACATACACGCTAATTATATCTTTTATCTTTGAATTAGTCTCTCTGTCAATCCAACATAACATGATTACACTATTCTCCTTAAGATAAATTAGTAATGGGTAGAAAATTAAATACTAGATAATAGAAAATACAAATTCATATTCATATGTACTTACTTATGGAGAAACGATGCTAAGTAACAAAATTCATATATACAGATAAGGTGATTAAACAGTAATTTAATATCAACCACAATTGATCTCCGACAATGGTGTCAAAAACATGACATGTTGCAAGTGCACGATTGTGCAAAGTAGCTGGTAAAAGATTATCAAAACACAAGGATCAATGGTTTAAGTAACGAATTATGTTCTATTGATGAATATCTAGAGGAATCAATAATTTAATATTTAGTAAAAACAACTTAAATAAAAAGGACCTATAGAAAAATCACTTAAATCACAACAGAGACAAAAAGGACTTAGGGTTATGATTTTCACTCTAATACACATAAAATTTGAGTCACTTCTATTACAAGAGTTTCAACACAATTTATAGAAAATAGATAAATATGGACAACACATGCTTTCGCCAGCGCATTTCCCTATCGATGACGAGTAATTCATCGGCTTTCACTTGACCATATTATTTATCAGGGATTTGTTGCTTTTGCTCGGCTATAAAAATTGTAACTTTTTCAAATTCATTCAAGTGCTTTTGTTGTATTGAACTTGTTTGTTTAAAAACATATTCTCTGGTGTTGATACATATCTGTCATACCCCAATTTTGTTCGGGCATTTAAATTTTTTTATTTATCTGCCTTTATTTTCAGTTTGCATCGCCTGCATAGTATATCATGTCCTTCATCATGAATAATACCTAAAACGATTGGCCATAATAAATTCTCAGATATACAGGCAGATTGGTTGAATCATATCTCAAATATACAAAAAAATCAGTGGATGAAAACTTTCGAAATAAGCTTGTAGACATCAGTAATATAATCTACAATTCGCATAGTTTAAACTAGTGTGTTCGTCTTATTTTTCGACGACTTTTTAGCCACATTTTGATCAGTCCGAGTCTTTTTACCAATTCAGATTTATTTCAAAATCTGACCAAACGCTGTATTTTTCCAATACGTTTATTTCGTACTGATCATTTTAGTGCTTTTAATTTTTCGGGCATTTTGGCACTCGACTTTTATTCATTTTCAGCCATTTTATTTTTATCTTTTTCCTCCAAATATTCAGAAAAATGAAATAGAATTTTCCATGATTGCATTTTAGTTTTATCATATACATTTAGAAAGATGTGAATTGTATTTGATTTAATTTGATTTAAAGCAATTAAATCATCTAGAAGAGGCATTTTAGGTTTTTTATTTTTTATTTTTCTAACAATGTGTATTTCTTGGTGTGTTTCTTTGATTTAATCATGATCTTCGGATTAAGATTAATCAAAGGCCTACATTTAATGATCCATGAATTTCTCTCTTATCCAATAAAAAAAATTAGAATGTATAATTAATATTTGTAATAAAAATGAGAAAGAAATTAAGCTCCCACTAGCTAGCTAGCCAAGGATTTTTTTATTTTAAATATTTGCTGTCATATAGGACACGCGTCCCGTTTCATAAGCACTCTCTCTATATTAATAAAAAAGCAGTTTGGCCGCAACGAGATCCAAACACGGCCTTGAAAGGTGGGTAGGAAGATCTGACCTAAAAAGGAGAAAAGCTGACGACTTACTCACTCAAAAAATCAAAAGAAAGAAAACCAACCAGTTTTGTTTCTAATTTTCTTCATCACCATTGAAACGCATCTTACCAGCATCAATATTCATCCTTGTACTCACCATAACCACCAAGCACATACTCCCTTAGGTTCTTCATCGTCAAACACCTCCACATCACCGTGAACAACAACAATAACTTAAACATCACCGAAAACACTCCTCTCACTTCCGTTACTCCACCTTCAACCTTCACGAGACAACCACAAACTCATTTTCCACCATCCCTTTTGTTCACCTATCAACCTTCCGCTTCTCTGTTTAAATTTCTGTCTGCCACTATAACAAGGCCAATACCACTTTAATCTTCCACTTCCTCTTTGTTTTTCAGATGAACCACCCTCAACACACAAACCTCCCTCTCTTTTCAAACTCATAAGCCACCGTTCCACTTTCGTTTTCACCCTCTTTGATCTACAAGAGAATCTGATGTTCAATATACATTCTGCTTCTGTTTTCACTATAGCCACAACAACAAACACCTCATTTAAAACCATGAAATCTAACCTACCTCAAACACAACTCACTCCACCGTAGACTTTGAACCGCCTCTATTACCATCGTTCTCCATCAACCACGATTTGAATCTCCCTCCTACAAAACTTCCACTCAAATCATAATCACCAATACCACCATCCCCTTCAACTCTGCCGCGGTTCTCATGGTTCAATAACACAGCAGATCTCTGGGTGAATCAATCTTGGTTTCAACTTATTTCCGTGAGTTGTAAGTCTGATTCTTTAGTGATGCGAGGTTGGAATTCCACGGATGCGTCGGTGCGACAAATCCTGAAGTGTTGCACTATTGATTGGTTTCTCTTCGTGTCAACAAATCGACATTGCGGTAAAATTTTCAAATCTTTTATATTGAAAATTATTTTCAAAACTAATACAAGTGATTAAAAGTTGTCATAATCATTTTTTAACTAACTAGTCAATTGAAAAAATACAATTTGGAGCCATCCAATCCATTGGAGCATTAAGCTAGTCGATTGAAATAGTGCTAATCGATCAACTAAATGATAAGGATAACACATTAATGACTTACAATGGTTTTATATCCAAAACTTCCTATTTGGGCTTGCTAATCGATTAGACTTAAGCAACCAATTGATTTGAGCCTTATGTCAATCAATTGGCTCATTAGTTTTGCCCATGGATTATTTCAGTTTTTTGTTTTTCCAACATCTATATAAGGGAGGCACACCACCTCTTTGCAACACACCACTTTCCAACGCTTAACATTTTTTTTGGCCTTTATCGCTCTCTATCTCTCTAGAAAACATTTCTTTCACTTGATATTACCTTAGTGTTTGTAAGTGAAACTACTCTTGAGAGGAAGAAATTTTTTCGTAAGTGATCATGTGTGTCGTTTAAATTCGTAAGAGTGTGATACTCTTAAGAGATCAAGTTTGATTCATGAGATAAACATATCATAAAATCTCTGTGGTTAGTTTCTTAAGCTTTGCTTGAAAAACATTTGTTTTGGTTATTGAGATAAGTCATAAATCTCTAACCAGTTTGTTAGCTTAGTTTAGGGTAAAAACTGTCATTGGTTTGGGATAAGCCTGTAAAAATCTCAAAATCAGATTGTATTAAGGTTCGCGGGCATATCCTTCAAAAGCTCGAAGTTTATAGTAAAAATCTCAAGAAGACCTCCTGAGGACATGACTAGGTCAACGTTCGGCCAAACCTGTATAAATCCCCGTTGCAATCTCTCAAACTTGTCCTTTTATTTCTGCAATTTACTTTAATTATTTTATTTTTGCTACAATCCACTCATCCAAAATTACTAACAAGTTCTTAATCGATAAAAGTATAAAATTAATCACAAATTTCAAGTAAACAATTCACCCCCTTTTGTGCTTAAAGTCACTTTTCCAACAATCTCCACTTTCATTATACTCACCTTGAATCTTGAACTGACTTGACCGTTGGAGGGCTAATCATGCAGGTACATCATTGTACCATCATAAAAGAGATCAAAACCACTGTTCGAGATAATTATCCAAATATCTTTATTTTTGGTTCCTTCATGGAGCTAGAGCATCCATTTCTAGTTCCCAAACATAACAAATGTGCCATATATGGGAATCAACTTTCGATTCCTAGATTTTCCATGAAAATCGTGTTTGTTTCGCCAACTCACAACATCTTCATAAGAATAAAAATAAAAGTCTTAGATCCAGATATAAGGTTGCACCAGGTTCTAAAGGAAATTTCTGTGAAGTCTGTGTCGAAGACTTGCAATCCATTTCCCAACTAGAATGTCTCTTTACTTCCCGCCGCTGCCTAGGTGCTTATAGAGCAACATCAGAAGAAACTGCAAGTTTATACTTAACACAAAGTATAGATCAGGACCTGTGTCACCCACTATGGTTACATAAGAATCTCAAATCAACATCCAGAGCCTCATCAAACCAGATCCAATAAGTCGAAGTGGAAAATCTAGGTTCGTGAGCTCCCTTTCCGCGTCACCAAGGACGATTATCTTAAAAACAATAGTTGATTCCAGCGATGATCTATTGATGAAATACCCTGTCACTCCTATTACGAGGCAATTTACTGGGAAAGATAAACTCCAAACCCAACTATGGACAAAATAACAAAGAGGGACGGGGCACATCAACCATGCAATCAGAGAGAAAACACCCTGGATTTTGGTTCTAATCCCGGACTTCTGATCTACATGCATGTCCCAAAGAAAAATTTATGAGGGGTGTGTCGTCTGACCTCCTCCCTCATAAGACAATCTGGTGAGTTCTTCTAAATAACACCATTTACATCTGACCTTCCTACTGAGTCCAAAAAGGGTCTACTACAGGACCATATCGTCTCCAAGTAGAGCGTCATCCTTACTGGTCATTCGAGGTAGATACATGTTTCATAGTAAGCTGGGGTCCAGGATGCTCAGTCACTATAGCTGAAGAAATGCTCCACTGAAGCATTGGACAAAGTAATTTGACAAGCTCAAAACTCAACGACCAACGATGAGCTATGCCACCAGAGAAGTCGACCATACAACAATATCAATAAGAAAACACAAGGTGAGATGCCTCGACGCCCCATCCAATCAATGAAGACACTTTAAAGCGCGAGGTACACTCAACCCAAAATCCAAGCATAAGACATAGGCCAGAGATCCTGGATATCATCCATCCAAGCCCTAGTCGGGTTGAAGGTTATATAACCCATCGTTCCATTATTTATTTGTAACGAATTCAATTTATTATTAATATAAAATTATCAATATGTATGTATGTATGTATGTATGTATGTATGTGTGTATGTATGTGTGTATGTGTGTATGTGTGTATGTGTGTATGTATGTATGTATGTATGTATGTATGTATGTATGTAGGTATGTATGTGTGTATGTATGTATGTATGTATGTATGTATGTATGTATGTATGTATGTATGTATGTATGTATGTAGGTATGTATGTGTGTATGTATGTATGTATGTATGTATGTATGTATGTATGTATGTATGTATGTATGCCTCTTTCTTCCTCAGTTGTATGTTTCTTTGTCTCTCTTTCGGTTATAACGGATTGACACAGGGGAACAAAAATAAAATGACTAAATGTGTATTCAACATGGACTTAACGCATCTTTGTGATCCTGATACGACTTAAGCACACTTTGTTCCATATTGCATATTCGACTGATACTTAACACATTTATGCAATTCATATATGGCTTAAACACACCGCCTGCAATAATGTGTACTCTATACAGACTTAACACATTTCTGCAATTCTGATATGACTTAAGCATATTTCATGCCCTATTGCGTATCAGATACAGACTTAACACATTTATGTGATGCTGACATGACTTAAATGCACTGCCTGTATTAATGTGTATCTGATACAAACTTAACCCATTTTTGAGATTTTTTATGGCTTAAGCACATTATGTGCCCTATTGCGTATCTAATGTTGACTTAAAGCATTTCTGCGATTCTGATACGACTCAAATGCATACCACCAATGACTTCTCATCCAAGGCATATTAAATGCATATATGCGTAATTGGAACACCCCCTCAGATCTAGCTAGTCCAAAGGCGTAGGTGGTGGAGCCCGTAAACGTCCACCTTGATCTGAGACAAGCCTCAGGGGAAGGGACGAGGATTCTACCCTTGGTCGGGGAATGATCCTCTATGACGTGTAGCACAACACAAAGTACGACCACATTACGCCGACATCGCCAATCTCAAGCCTCTCCCCGTGAAATGCAAGCAAATCGCCAAACACGGTGCCCAAGTCAGTTCTTTAGTACAACCAAAGCTAAATACACCAAACAAGTCTAGCAACCAAAAATGATAGCTAGCATTATTAAACGTACCAAGCTGCAAAAAGAAGAAAAATCCCAAAGGCACATCTGCCACTTCACTACAATCCAATTCATTGTTTCTCCCATAAAGGAAATTGTAGAGGCTTTCATACCCTAAAATGGACATTCCACTATAGCCGATGAACCCTGGTGGTCCGACCTATGCTCTAAAGTGAATAAGTAATTTGAAGAGTAAGAGAGTAAGCCTTGAGTTATGATAGTTTGAAAACAACAACAATGTTAAAGCAAATATCGATAAAAAAAACACTAAACTAAATAATACTTGAAGCATCAAAGTAAAATATTTCATTAAATATCAAAAATTGTTACACCCTAGGCATAAAATCATGGGAGATATTGCAGGAAATAAAAATAATAAAAAAGTAAAGGAAAATCATGTCAGAGCATTTGAAGCCGAGGCACCAGAACCACCTCCTTAAATCTCCCCCAAAATGGACCTAAAAGGATGCAAAACCTCAACATAAATTATAACATCAAGGCAGAGCTTCCTCTCCTATTCCACAACTGACTCACTAACTCAAAGCACATCCTGCATAGTCTACTGGAGAAAGTCACGAAGCGCCCACTTCAAACTTTCCACCTCGTCCTGAAGAGTTTTCAAGGCACTTCTAGGCCTCGGTTTCCTGAAGCGAGGCTTTCCAATGCTCCTCCTTTTGGCGAGCCATGTCTTCAACAAAATCATAAGAAAACTTATACCGCTTCTCTGCATCCTAAAGGGAGCCCTCTATATTTGTCACATGAGCCGTCAAGACAGAAGGAAAATCGTGCACGTCCGTAACCTCTTTCAAAGAGTTGGCAACTTTCACTTCCTTCTACAGGGCAAAAAGCTCCTCCTAGATATTAGTGCATCTAAGATCCATAGTTTTAGCCATCTCTTTAAAATTAACCTTTTCCTGGAATGATTACCCGGGGACAATTCATCACACAGTCCAGCAAAGACAAGAGAAAAAATGGTACCATGTTTGAACATGATGTGAGCAAGCTGAGAAGGAAATTCCATTGTATCCCCCTCAGGGAGATTAATGATAAAGGATAAATCTAACATTGACACAATAACATCAACCTATTTATTAAGGGAGTCACTTCCCTAGAAGCACACCCCTTAGTAACTTGAGCCCATTTTGGAAAACCTTCAT